TTTCCTAACACTAGGTATGGGCTCTGTAACACAAAAATGACACGTCCCCTCAATGGCATTTCCCTTATTTACTAAATTATGAGTGAGTGGTATACTAAAGTGGAAATGAAATTATCACAGTATTTCTGAGATGCAAAAATTTTTGTTAAACTCATTTTTTTTTCTGTCCATAAAAACACCAAAGTATAGAATGATATTAAATGTCAGGTACTTTACAGGTTTACTAACCAATGTAATCTAGCTTCTTGAATTTTTTTACTTTACAAAAGGAGAGTATCATTTGTAAAACTTCAGATTATTTTTTCAACTTTGCTTTATGAGAAACAAAGTCTGTTCTCTTTTTATAAAAGGAGAGTTCAGCTAGAGCCACAAATTCCCTGTTCTGTACTATGACAGCACTCAACCAACTGATTACCTACATTTAGTGCTCAAAAGATTTGAGTTTATCTTATGATCTTTCTTCCTATATCCAATATCTACGATTCTAAGAAAAGGAAAATATACTACTGAGGTATGTAAAAAAAAAAAAGTTATTGGAATATAATACATGTAACAATGCTTTTCTCATTTCAACCACTTTTACATGGTACCATTCAGTGACATTAATTACATTCTCAATGTTGTGCAACTACTACCACTATTTTTAAAACTTTTCCATCATCCCAAACAGAAACTCATTACCTCTTACTTAACACCCTTCAGTTATCCTTCCCACCCACCCCTGGTTACCATTAATAAACTCTGGTTGCTATGAATTTGCCTATTCTGGATATTTCATATAATATTTAGACTTCTGTGTCTGACTTATTTCACTCTGCATAATGTTTTAAGGGCGATCCATGCCACAGTATGCATTAGAATTTTATTTTTCTTTATGGCTGAATAATATTCCATTATATGTGCATGCAGTGGAGTAAATTACACAGTGTGGCTTTTCTAGCCATAAGTCTTTGTAAACTCTGTGGTGGAATTTGCCATGAGCAACTTAGTAGCTCCTGATTGCTGAAGCTATCCACCTGAGGTATTTCTGTTGAACCAGCAGGAAGCAATCTTCTGGGAAAATCTCTCTCTCTCAGGTGTATAGAATTCTGAGGTTGGGATTGGTTAGTGGTCACTATGTCAGGCTCAAAAGGAACCCTTCTAGAGACAGAAGAAGTGCTCTCTAACCACTGGCTGAGAAAGACATGCTGCTGAGAGAAATGTGCTCCTGAGAGACATGAGATATGCACTGCTGAAAGAGAGATGCGAGAGACACGACTGCTGGTAGAGAGACACCGAGAAACATGCACTGCTGAAGAGAGACAGAGAGACTGCAGGCTGAGAGACAGCAGACTAAGAAAGACTGAGCGTGTTCCTGAACTTGAATTGTAGCCTGTTGCTTCCCTAATAAGCCCTATAATCTGTGAGCTCCGTGTGGCCACTGCAGCGAATTATCAAACCCAGCAGAGAGGTGGTGGGTGCTATGGGAGTAACAGTTGTTGTCAGAGTTGGTGAAAGGGCTGGAGGGAAGCAGCAAGTCTGGTTTCACAGGCATAGGCCTTGGGTTACTGATGGTGACTCTGTCTTCCTCTTGTGGGGTTAGAGGAGGTCAGAAGATGCGGCCTCCCTGCCCCTTTGGCAGTGCATAACACATTTTATTTATCCATTCTGAGTTCTGATTTTTACTTCTTAGAGTTCAAATACCCTTCTCTCACCTTGGTCTAACTAATGAGCTCTTCAAGAGGTAGGAGGTAGAAGAGAAGGGAAAACAGGATCTTCATGCAAGCTGTCCAGTGCTGCTTCATCATCATTCTTCGTGTCAAATACCAACTACAGCTTAAAACGATCATCTTTTTGTCTTTAATATGATAACTTTGTACCTGTAATGCCTCTTGTTTTACACTAGTTTTCTCAGGCACTTCATGAACACTTTCTGAAGAATCGTCAACCTCTTCGAATTCTGAGGATGAAGGACTTTCTACTGTCACAGTCACAGGAAAATCTGATTGCTTAAAGAAAGAGGACAAGTTTTTGTGAGTAATAATATAAACCAAGTATCAACTAGTAAAGGGCAACTAATCCAAAATGATCTTTCTGAAGTATCAAGTCATTATCTATAAACGTCTTTCACTGCTTCTTAGCCTAAAACAGTAACAAAGTAAAAGGACAGTATCTTATACTTGTTGTGTTACTGTTTAGAATTATGTCTTGCAGGATTATGATTAATATTTTGAACTGCTCACATTACTAAGTTTCTTTGACAAAAAGCCAAGTGAGGAGCCAAGATAAGTATTTTTTCTTAGATGAACTTCATAGTAGAGAAATCTATTCTTTACCTTCGGACAAAGAGTCTGGAAGAAAATGTAAATTTTAGGAAGAAATTCCATCAGTAAGGAATTCTAAGAATGTGAAAAGTCAAGATTCTAAGTTGTGAATAATAAATAAAATTTTCTATAATAAATATGATATATACACAAAAGTAAAATTGACCCATTAAAACATCTCATCTCCTTAAACCAAAGTAAGTAACAATACAATTCTATTGTCACATTTCACTGCCACTGGAATGTTATTCAATATGATGTTTCTAAACACTTACAAATGACCTTTTAACAACCCCATAATAATTCTACCAATCAAAAAGAAGACAGCAAGGATTACATAATTATACGGACAAGTTATTGTCATATAATTTCTACCAGAAGCAGCAAACTGTAATATATGAAAACACTAAATCACAGAATTAGGTGTGCATGTCCCCACCCTCGTGTAGAGCATGCAGGGAGCAATACTTGCTCCTCTCTCAACCTCAGTGGTGGTATCTTTTACCAAGAAATATCCTACATGGCCTTCCAAGACAAATGAGGAGGAGAAACTGATACTCTAACAGATTAGCTTGCTCTAAGACCATGAGGCAATATGACACGGAATGTGTCATTCATATTTAATTCATGCCTCCCTGGCAAGAGAGGCCAAGGTTTGGGATTTTTTCTTAAATGAAATCTATTCTTTACCTTCAGACAAAGAGTCTGCTCTGTTTTGGGATCAGGATCTGGAACTTATATAGATGACCCAAAAACTATACTTCCTGAAAGCATAAGGACATTCTTGAGTAAGATAGCTCCATGTGTCCTGGGGCCCCCAATGTGTCTTATCTATACAATTATACAGTGGCACTGGGAGACCAGCAACTCCTTGGAAGGAAGATGGGGCAATCTTCTTCCGTAGTGATACTGCCTCAAAACCCAAGGAGGGGTCGCTATGAGTTGGGTCCAACTCGACGGCACATAACAACAACAACAACTGGGAGAACAACCCAGAAATTTTTCAATGGATTTACTTCAGAGAGAAAAATATTTCTCCTAAGGCTCTATGCAGTTTAAAAACAAAAAAGAAAACAATCTTCCACCTACTCCACCCCAATACCCTACTATTGTAAATATGGTAACTACATACCTGTAAATGATTATAGACATCACGAGTTTTGATTAATGGAAAACCCCTAAAGAGATATCAATAAATTAAGTTAAACAGATGTAAATATAGTGGATTCCTAATTTAGATGAGCAGCTCACGAGCTGCCACAAAAATGAATTGCCCGATACCTATAATTGTATAACTTTAAAAGTATCGAAATTCTTATTTACCATTCTGGTTACAGACAGAGGATATTTCTGTCTTATCCACTTAGTCACATCTAAGAACATCAATTTTTATTCAAGAATGTACACTAGTAGCCTCATGGGCTACCGAAAGTAGGTGTTCTTACAATAACAGCTCCCATAATCTTTGAGATTTTACAACTCCCTTTAGTTTTCTTGATGCTTCCATGATACTCAGGATGTCAATGGCTTGACCCTAGTAACCTTTTTGCTACTTTTAGTGTGCTGCTTCCTGTAAGGACTTAAAAATCAACGAACAAGCTCCTTAGTATTTTGTACAATATCCACATACACCTGCATATAAAAATAAGCAAGCTCGAAATAAGGACTTGAACTACTCTGCAAAGGAGACAACAGAATGGGATTGAGCAGACTGGTTTTGGGATAATTCTGAACTGCTGAGCAGCAGCTTCCGTCCCTATGTTCAAGATGGTTGAGATTTCCAGGCCAATTTCTTTAACTTGTGGTATTAATCATTCTCTAATTCACAACTCATTGTGACCAAGATTGATTTGAGATTAATAAATGTTTTCATGAAGAAGATATGAACCCATAAAATCATAAAACTAAAGTGTAAAGATTTGGGCCTCAGCACTATAATTCATATTTCCATTTGCAAAAAGGTACAGTAGTTAGTTGCCCAAGGGAGAGTATGCTTATCAAAGTAATGTGAGCAGCTAAACAGATATTTTACATAGTATATTTTTCAAGTGCTTTTTTAAAATTCATTGTTTTCTTAAAATAATTGTTAACCTCCAATTTCTTAAATACCATCAACTAAATAATCTGAAAATAATCCATAGTAATCTAACTCACTTAACAGTCTAAAATTATACTACAATAATTGTTAAGACTTTTACATTTCTTTGGCAAAAAGTACTGTGGGTAAAAAAAAAAGTACTCTTGGGCAAGTAATCAGTTAAAAATAATTAAATCTAGTAACTGATTTGTTAAAACCTAGAGTGAGGGCTAGTTGACTGAGTTAGATTAAGTCTAACACACATTTTTCATCCACTCTGCACTAAACTATTCCCTGTTTAGCACACAAAAAATCTTTTTCTCAATCCTACCTATGCAAAATCCTACTTCTATTCTACAGGGTTTGGTTCAATTATACAAGACTTTAATGAAACCTCATCTCACCTGCCCAAGTGGGGACCATTTCAGTCTCCTCTAGACTCCCAAAGGATTACACTTGTTATGACACTTAGGAAATTACTTGTAATTCCAAATTACAATTATTTTTTGTTTATCTTCCTTCAGGGATTCATTAGGCAGAAGCTATGGCTGAGTCATCCTATTTTCTCCTATAGAAAAAGTCACACAGAGGTTTCCCACATAATTGTTGTTGTTGTTGTTATGTGCCGTCGAGTCGGCCCCGACTCATAGCGACCCCTCCTTGGGTTTCCGAAGCAGTATCACTACGACAGTAGGATTGCCCAACCTTCCTTCCGAGGAGTGGCTGGTGGGTTTGAACCTCCAGCCGTCTGGTTAGCAGGCAAGTGTCTTAGCCACTATGCTACCAGAGCTCCCTAGAAGTTCCAAAACAAAGAACTGTGATGGCTAAAGATTGAGAATAAAAACATTCTACCTGTTCCTTTTTGCACGTTCTGCAGTACGCCATGGCAAGAAACCAGACACACCAGGTGGAAGAGGTTCAGGTGCATAATATTCTTTACCAAGGGTGTGTTTTCTCCCATTGTTTACAGGTTTCTTGGTAGCCAATCCTATGTTAAAGGAAGCATTAAGGAAAAAAAAAAAAAAAAAGAATGAAGATGCACAGAGTGTCTACAAATCAATTATTATGCATGCAAATGTGCATTTGACAATGATGCCAAGGTCATCAAAAAGATAATCATTGTGTAAAAATGTACACAGGCCAGTAATGGTTTGAAAATAAGTTTTAAAAGTAAAAAGCTATCATTTTGACTAAATATAAGCTGAGTACATGAGACATGCAGAACATGTAAGAAGACCAAAAAAATCAAATTGATGGCCATCAAATCAGTTCCAACTGATAGTGACCCTATAGGGCAGAGCAGAACTGCCCCATACGGTTTCCAAGTCTGTAAATCTTTATGGAAGCAAACCACCTTATCTTTCTTCTGTGGATCTGCTGGTAGGTTTAAATTGCCAATCTTTTGGTTAGTAGCTAGATGCTTTAACCACTGTGTCACCAAAGCACCTTGAACATATAGCAGTAAATTTTAAAAATACAACTCAAAGAACGAAAGATACTTTTCATCATGTATCATGCAGAAATATTCAGGAGTTTATGAAATCTCTGGCATTTACATCTCACGGACAGATAAACACAGATATAGCTCCTGACTTCTGCCAAACAGAACCTTCAAAATTAGACCAAAATTTCAATTTAAGATTAATTTTTCTCTGTAAAAATTACCAAAAGTACAAGACTGAACCCTGCTATGTAGCAGGCAAGACAATGTCACACTCCTGTAAGTCTGTTGACCTTCACTGTTCAGACTGAAATGTTCAGAATTAGTCTATATTCCAGTACTAAAGAGTCAAGTATCTGTATATGAAATGTTTAGTAAAAACGTTAAACCTACATATTAATACTTTATTTAGAATAAATCATGTGAACAAATAATATAGGTCCCTGGGGTAGTTCAAACAGTTAATGCACTCAGCTGCTTACCAAATGGTTGGAGGTTCAAGCCTACAGAGAGATGTTTTGGAAGAAAAGCCTGGCAAACTATATTAGAAAAATCAGCCTCAGAAAAACCTATGAAACACTTAGGGGGTGCCATGAGGCAGAATCAACTTGATGGCAACTGAACAGGATTGATCCTTCAAATCTATTTTACTACACAAGATCTATTTTAGCAGTACTGAATTAGCACTGCATAGAAAATAAAGTGAATATGAAAATGCACCATGAACATTTCACATAGTATAATTTATTGATAATCATTGAATAATCTTATATGATTTCCTTGGATAAATGTACATGCTTCTTAGGAACTCAATTCATCTGTGCTATATATTTTTTTAACTTTATTAACTTCAAACTAAGAATGAGCAAGTATATGAGAACTGTGTGTTATACCTGTTGCTAACTTTTAGAAACTAACGCGAACTCTATATCCATATAAACTTGTATACAATATCCATATACATCTGTGTACACAAATAAATAAATTGAAAATCAGGACCTAGAATACTATGCTATGAGAAAATGGAATGGGATATAGCAGATTGGTTTTGAGGTAACTCTGAACTGCTGAGAAGTGTCTTCAGGTTCTATGTTCAGGTTGACTGAGATTTCCAGTCTAACTTCTTTAACTTGTGACATTAATTGTATATATAATTTTATTTTATTATTTTTGAGAAGCAAATATATTTTTAACTAAATGACATTACAGTTATCTTGATAGGAAATTAAAAACCCACAAAAAAGTGCCTATCTTTTTTCTGCATACAAAATTACAATATGAGTGCAACATGATTTGCATAAAGTATTTAACCCTTGTAGTCAATAAAATCTAGCTATCTAGCCAAATACTGATTTAGTTAGCCTCTCTATATATCCAAATAACTGAAGCAAATACAAAAAGAGAACAAATAAAATTACTTTTAAAAAAGCTCAATGTGCTACAAACTTGGGTCACTTTCCACTCTGTTTAAACATGCTAAGAAAAAAATTTATTACCCCATGATGACCTGTTAAATACCACTAAAAAACCAAACCAAACTCACAGCCATTGAGTCAATTCTGACTCACAGCAACCCCCACTGGGTTTCTGAGGTGGTAAATCTTTATGTAAGTAGATAGCCCCATCTTCCTCCCACAGAGCGGCTGGTGGGTTTGAACCACTGACCTTCTGGTTAGCAGCCAGATGCCTTCTCCACTACAGCACCAGCGCTCCTTTTATATACCATTAGGTACTAAAATTATAGAATTTCTAATATGTTCCTAAGAGTCATATATTTTTTTTTCCTAAAAGGGATATATTATATGGAAGTACCAACTTAGAAACTTAAAAATGTTTAACATAGGACATAAAATTTATATGATAATAACTAGTGTGATATCACATCTCAAATTCTTCCCTGTTTGTACAATTTGATCATTTACTGAAAAAGTAGTTTTGAAATAAAAGTTAGCAGATTAATCTTAAGCTTTCTTTTGATTTAACTCTCTATCAACTAAAGGGCAATCATTGCCCAAACAAGTTGAGCTGATTACTGGTGAATCAAAACCACACAATCTTTAATAAATAAATAAATAAGTCATATACACTAAGACATTTATAGTAACATTATAAAATTATTTGCTATTTGTTTCTAATTTATCACCAGATTTAAAAATTGACACATCAACTCAGTGAAACCTTATAAATGCATTAAAAAGTGTAACTATAAATCCAATAAGGTGTTATAAATTTAGTATGGAGTAAAAATACACAATTATATTTGTTGTCATCAGGTGCCGTCAAGTCATCTCCGACTCTCAGTAACCCTAGATACAAGAGAATGGAACACTGCCCGTCATGCACCATCCTCACAGTCCTTGCCATGCTTGGCCCCACTGTTGCAGCCACTGTGTCAACCCATCTCGTTGAAGGTGTTCCTGTTTTTCACTGACCCTCTACTTTACTAAGCATCATATCCTTCTCTAGGGAATGGTCCCTTCTGATATGACCAAAGTAGGTGAGACGAAGTCTGGCCATTCTCACTTCCAAGGAGCATTCTGCCTGCACTTCTTCCAGGACAGATTTCTTCATTCTTCTGGGAGTACATGGTATTTTCAGCTTTCTTTGCCAACACCACAATTCAAATGCATCAACTCTTCGTCGACCTTCCTTCTTCATTGTCCAGCTTTCACATGCATACAAGGCAACTGAAAATACCATGGCTTGGGTCAGGCACACCTTAGTCTTCAATGTGACATCTCTGCTTCTTAACACTTTAAAGTAGTCTTTTGCAGCAGATTTTTCCCATATCATTAACCATGAAACTTATTCAAAATGAACTTTTTGTGATTAAAAAAAAAAGCAGCTAATAAAAAAAATTAAAGTTTACTTCCTAAAAATTCATTTACTATTTCTGCATTCCATAAATTCTCATAATCTGTGTTAGAACAACTACAGCACTCATAATATACATGAAATTAATACTGGTTGTTACCTTCAATATCTTACAATGAGAAGAGATTTGAACACACTAGAACACATAGGGGTAGAAGTACTAATAACACTAGAAAAAACCAAGATAAAAAGGGTTACCAATTCGAATAGTTGCTTTTCCTTTTCGACCACTTCCCAGAATTATAGTTCTCTTTTTCTGTCTAGCAGTTTTAGATGTTTCCTTTATTGATGGAGAAGTTATCCACTGGTACTGGAAGACAGATGATAAATATTTCATTTCAGTAACAGGCAATTTATGAGGATTTGACCTAACTTGGATATTTTAAGAGATTAATAGGTTTGTGATCTGGACTTCTGGAACCTAAAATTAAAGAATCATAACAATATTTTCAAATCCAGAAAAGCCAAACTGATTTGATTGAAAATTTAAGATGGCAGAAAAGTGCCTCAACAATTTCATTTTATGATAAAGAGAAAAAATACAAGCAGTAAAAGAGAAATTCTTCTTAGAAGATTAAAACATGTTTTACCTCCGACTTAGCACTCCTTCCATTCTGGAGAACTTTTTTGATAACTGCTTTCATCACAGAATGATCTAAAGTAAAATGAAAATGGAAATTACTGTAATTGTGTTTAATGACTATTCTATTTAAAAAAAAAAAAAAAAAGTCAACTAATTACTGCTTATCCCATAAAACAAAACATCAAATTTACAGTACTGTAATTACACACCTATTTCTGCCTAAATTCTTCCTCAGAAACGTAAGATAAAAGCATGCCACCTCACATATTGCCTCTAATACCTATTATTTTGGTGGTAGCAAAGAACAAATTTGCAGACTTTGGCTCTAAAGTAGTTTCAGATTCAATTGGATAGAAAGCCAAGAGGATGGGCATTATCCAGACACTTAAATACTGAACAGGTATCTTAAAGTTAATATAACCAAATCAAAGTCTTCATACCCCCTCAAAGCTGTGCCTTCCCCCAGCCTCCCCTTCTCAATAATGGTATCAGCCATAATTATCTAGGATTTCTTTTTTGAATCATATTTTCTTTTATACTCCGTAACTACTCAATATGTAAGTCCTGTCAGCTACATCCTCAAAAGATAATCTGAATTAAACCACTTTTCAGTATATCCAACTTCCCACCTTAGTCCAAGCCACCACCTTTCTCTCACTTTGCACAATGTCACAGGAGTCTCCTAACTGGTCTCCTTATTTCCCTTCTTGTCTCCCCTCTCATCTAGTCCTCAAGCCTGAGTCATTATTTTGAAATATTACTCAGATCATTGCCTTTTCTAGCTCAAAACCCTTCTGTACCTTTTCATTCATTTGGCTATTAAAGGCCCCTGCCTAGCTCTCTGCCTCATCGTTACCACATTCTCCCTTAGTCATGTCGGCCGCCTTGCTTTTCCTTAAACACTCCACGTACGCTGCCACCTAATGCCTGTGTCCTTATTGCTTCCTCATCCTGAAATGTACTTCCCCCAAGTATTTCCATCGATTACTTTCTTTCACTCAGGTTTCTGCTCAAACATCACTTTTTCAGTGAAGCAGTTCCTAGCAAACCTATCTGAAAAAAAAGTAGTTCCACTCACTTTCCCTTTGTTTCCTTACCTTATGGTAATCTTGTAATTTCTACTATCTAAAATTATATTAATTTCTGTTTATTTGTTTATATCTGAACTTCCTCACTAGAATGTAAGCTCCATGAGGGCAAGACTGTTTATATCCCTACTGCCTAAATCAGTGTCTGACACACAGAAAATAAATAACAAAATGCTTGTCAAATTAACAAATGAATAAAATGCTCTTTCCAGAAATTCAGGCTAAAGGAGAAGGAAACAATGCTCTTGGTAGAAGCTAGCTTATTATCTAAGTTCACCTCTATTCAGAGTAGCAGCCAAGAGCAATTTACAAGTATAACCCATTTTAATCCGTGAATTAGTTGCTAAAAACATAAAGGGAAGTACAAGATTAGAAATGTATATGATTGGGAAAATAAGCACATTAAGTTTTAAAAATCTCTCAATATATAATCAAATTCTTTTTGTTTGCTATCTGTTGATCAGGAGCTCTGGTAGCTTAATGCCTAAGGCACTTGACTGCTAACCAGAAGGCTGGCGGTTCAAACCCACCAGCCATTCCTCGGAAGGAAGGTTGGACAACCTACTTCCGTAGTGATACTGCCTCGGAAACCCAAGGAGGGGTCACTATGAGTCGGGTCCGACTCGATGGCAAATAACAATAACAGCATCTGCTGATCAACGAAAAAAATGTGGCAACATACCAATGAGTGGATTTTTTCGAATATCCAGAATGACCAAAGTTCTGTTGGTTTCAAGGGCCTCTAGAAAAGCGTTTGCTCCTTCACTGGTGAGGCCACACTGCTGCAGATCAAGTGCTTATGATGAAAGACAAAAGGTCACTGGTCAACTCCATACTGATCTAACATACAGACAACTCTCTCTAACACATCCATGAAAGATTCCTGCACAACAGTAGTCAAGATAGGTTTTTAATTTGGGGTAGTGAAAAAATTAAAAAAGAAAAACATGCATATACATAATTGAAAATCTAACAAAAAAAACTCTTCTTGGCTATGCCATGATTATCCCCTCTTTAGAGTACCAATAAATCACCCAACACATCTTAAAATTACAGTCTTAAAGAGTAACTGCACATAACCCACTGCAGAACATCACTGAATGAAGCTCAGTTCACAGTTAACAAAGATGCTAGTGGCAGTATAAATATTACTAGCAAAAAACTGGGTGGATTTCAGAAATGGACTGCATTCTTTTGATCACTGTCCTAAGTTTCAGATAACTCTCAGAAAGTTGCATTGCAAAATGTAAAAGAATGGTCAGTTTTAGATAAAAATGACCGAGAAAGACATCTAAGAAGATGCGTATTTTAAACCTAAAGGGTGTGCAAATAGAGAACATATGCAGAAAATCTACTAATAAAAGAAAAGATGGTGAGGAATTCTCCTGGTAAAGTTCAAAGAAAAGAACAAATAGTCATAAAGAGTAGTAGTACTGAGTTGAATGACCTACTTATTTAAATCAAAAGCAGCAGAGGTATAAAAAAAGATTGTATCACAAGAAAATACCATGAATCTTTTTAAAAGCCACACACATATTATATATAATGTGTGTGTGGTGTGTGTATATATACATATATATATACACACACACATAATTACACTATATATTATTATATAGTATTACATTAAAATGACAAGTCTTTTAAAACCTCAGAAACAACATACAGAAATAATAAATCAGATATATGGATCTGACAAAATATGATGTAACCCTTATAAACTCTTCTCATGGAAGAATGGACATAGGATAGAATTAAACAATTAACCAAATTAGCTGATAATCTCACCAGTAAATCAAGCAAATACATATGAAGACAATGAAATGTGATTGTTTCCACATCAGTTTAGGCCAAGGTCAAATAACAAAAGCCTTTAAAATGTGCATAGCCTTTTTGATCCAGCAACTCTCCAAGACTTTAAAGAAATAGAGATGTGGGCAAGGATGTGTATCAGAACACTGTTTATTACAGTGAAAAACAGATAAAGTTTATACATCCAACAAGACTGAATCAGCTAACTGTACTATGTTGTAGGCATATAATAGAGCACTAGGCAGTCACTAAAAATGATGTGAGATTTAAGTTTATTGACTTAAGATGTTCATGCTGTACTGAGTAAAAAGAGTGGTGAAATTTAGTTATCCCACCTTTATTAAAAAATAAGCAAGAAAAATAGACTACATGTTCCCTTCCTCTTCCCTTGCCTTGAAAATATACACAGTAAAAAAACTACAGACCAAAATGTTGATGCCAATTATTTCTGGATGGTGATATTAGAGATGTTTACATTTTCTAATTTGCTACAATGATTACTTATCATTTGGGAAAATTTTAAAGTTTTGAAAAGTGACACAACCCAATGTTTGGCAGGATGAGGATCTTGCATATACTGCTACTGTGAACTATAAAATGGCACAAAATTTCTGGAAGACAATTGTCAATGTGTATCAAAAGAGTTACAAACATGTTTTACTGAGTAATTACATTTACAAGATACTTAATATACAGTTGTCTACAATAGGGGAAAACTACAAACTATCTCTGTATCTAAATAGCAGGGTGCAGTGCAGTGAAGTAATAAGGCTTTTCTAGCCATAGTCTTTGTAACCCTCACCAAATGACAGGGTAGGATTTAGCCAATGTCTTTGTAACTCTCACCAAATGTCTGGGTGGGACGGTGCAAATGGGAGGTGCTTGTGGCCCACCAAGGGGACTGGATAGCTTGCTAATAACATAAATAAGGATTGCCCAACCTTCCTTCCAAGGAGTGGCTGGTGGGTTTGAACTGCCAGCCCTCTGGTTAGCAGTCAAATTCCTTAGGCACTACGCCACCAGAGCACCTCCTTGTAGGGGTAGGACCACAGAAATAAGGTGTATGGAACCCTAATACAGGGATTGGTCATTTTTGCAATCTTGCTAGGCTTGAAACGATCCATCCCAAAAGCATAAAATGGGAATCTCACTACTATCAAGAAAGAAGAGCCAAGAACGGAGCACATGCTTTGGACTCGAGAGCTCTGTGCTTGATCCAGGAGACAGAGCTGTGACATCAGAGATAGTGAGAGATGGTGAGAAACAGCAGCAGAGGAAACAGTGGCAGCAGAATCGAGACCAGAATAAGACAGAGTGGTGGGCTTCCTGGCACAGATTAACAGGAGTGAGAAAGCTGAGTACCTTCAGGCCAACACTTATGGCAGAGTAGGGTACTTCTACACTTTTATTAACAGAGCTGAGAACTTTCTAACACGTGCTTAAGCAAGGCAGAGGCCAGGCCGAGGGGTCAAGGGCCAGAGAGAGACCTACTTTCAGGTACAGCTGAGAGGACACTGTCTAGATTGAAGAACTGTATCCTAAGTGTTCCTGCTGCTGAAGTATAAGTTGTTACTTTCCTAACAAACTCCATAATCATTGAGTATTCTCTGTTAAGTTCTGTGTGGCCATTGCAATGGATTAATAAACTTAGCAGAGAAGTACAGAGTGTTGTAGAAATTTGGTTAGCATCACAATTGATTAAAAAAATTAAAAAAAAAATTGGAGGGTGGTGGCACACCTTACTTGCGACTCATAAGAATCAGCCCTGCGCTATTTGTTGATCTTGATCTATCTCCTGCCTTGTGAATTTGGAGGAGATCAAATGCCTCTGCCAGGATGTTTTTACACAGGGTACTAACTGGATAAATTATTAAATGACAGTATGATGGAGTACTAGATTACGTACCATAAAGTGAAAAAAGCATAGTAAGTATACTATGATTCCATTTTGAAAGTGAAGAAGACTTTAAATACCTACTGATGAAGATCAAAGACTACAGCCTTCAGTATGGATTATACCTCAACATAAAGAAAACAAAAAATCCTCACAATGGGACCAAAAAGCAGTATCACGACAAATGGAGAAAAGACTGAAGTTGTCAAGGATTTCCTTTTACTTGAATCCACAATCAATGTCCATGGAAGCAGTAATCAAGAAATCAAATGATGTACGGCACTGGGCAAATTTGCTGCAAAAGACCTCTTTAAAGAGCTGAGGAGCAAAGATGCCACTTTGAAGACTTAGGTGCACCTGACCCAAAACATGGTATTTTCAATTGCCTCATAAGCATGCAAAAGCTGGACAATGAATAAGGAAGACCAAGGAAGAACTGATGAATTTGAACTGTGGTATTGGGGAAGAATATTGAAAATACCATTGACTGCCAAAAGAATGAACATTATCAGTCCTGGAAGAAGTATAGCTGGAATGCTCCTTTGAAGAGAGAATGGCCAGACTTCATCTTTTGTACTTTGGTCATAGTATCAGCAGGGATCAGTCCCCAGAGAAGGACATCATGCTTGGTAAATAGAAGATTAGCAAAAAAAGGGAAGCCCCTCAGATAGATGGGCTGACACAGTGGCTACAATGATGGGCTTACATCTAGCAATAATTGTGAGGATGGTGTAGGATCAGTCAATGTTTTGTTCTGTTGTACACAAGGTCACTATGAGTTGGAGCTGACTCAATGGCTCCTAACAACAACAGGCATACAAATATATTTATAGAAAAAGAAAAATGACTAAAAATAACATAAGCCAAAATGAATAGTGATTATCACTGGGTATTAAGATTATGGATGATATCATAAAGGAACATAAGTAACTTTTACAAAAGTTGAAAAGTAAAATGAAAGTTATTAGAAAAAAGGCTTTTTCTATCTTACAACAATACTACAATGCCAAAAGCCAAGCATATTTAGTATTAAAAATCTGAATTTCAGAAGTTCATTTCACTTACCTCTAAGCCATAAATTCTCACTAAGAGATTCTGCAAAAGCACGTGCACCTATGTCACCAATGAGCATGTTGCAATTGAAAGTGATACGCCTTAAGCCAGCCATACAGTCAAGATCAGGTCTTCTATAACGAAGACTCTCAGCCCAGGTTTCTTCATGCCTTCTCATGGTCTGATACTTCAAAGATTTAACAGGATGAAATTAAGATGCTTAAACAGGAAATAACAGTATGACTACTATACCAAAAAAAAAAAATTCTAACCAGTTGTCACCAAGTTATTTCTGACTGATGGTGGCCCCACGCTTTTTGAGCAGAATTGTGCTTGGCAAGAGTTTTATGCCTACTGAATATGTCATATCATGTCAGAAATCTACATACACATTTTAACTATACATGCCAGTGGAGTCAACATTAGAGAGCCAACAGTAGATTATGGTCTAGGAGTCAAATGACCCAGATTCTAGTCAGCCACTCACAAGTCATGTAACATACCAATGGGTGACCTGACTTGTCACTGACTAGTTATTTAAACTTTGACAACTCAATTAACTTCTATGAATTTTATTTTCCTTATCTGTCAAGTCAGGGAATTGGCTCTAAATTCTGCTGAGGCTCTAAATCATATCACTCTGTCCTCCAGTGGTCTCCAAACATTTTTGAACAAGCAACCCACAAAAAATTTTCTGAACATACAATTATTAATAAATTATATACACTAAGTTCTGTACAAATATATTTTATGTACATTATAAATTACAAAGAAACAATGGATATTAAAACAGATTGAAACAAAAATATAAACAGTTCTAATATCTTCTTCTCCTAATCCAGTGGATCTCATAATTACTTAGCACATACAAGCCAACTTTAGAGGCCTGGAATATGCAAAGTCAGCCTAATAAACCACAGGAAGCTTTTGGTGTGATTTTTAAACACATATTAAAAAAAAAAACAACTCACTGCCGTCCATCGATTCGACTCATAGCAACCCCACCTTGGGTTTCAGAGGCAGTATATCTACGGAAGCAGATCGCCCAATCTTCCTTCTAAGAACTGGCTGCTAGGTTTGAACCACCAGCCTTCTGGTTAGCAGTCAAATGCCTTAGGCACTACGCTACCAGAGCTCCCATTAAACATATATACTGTCTTAAAGATATACTATAATTAAATCTCTACATTCATAAAGTAAATTTTGGTATAGGGAACCCTGACTTTAAAAGAAAAAAATCTTTTACTTTCATGAACAAAAGATGTTTTTAAAAGGACATTCTAAATGAAAAGTCCTTAGTGTCATTTTTTTGTTAAGAATAAAAACATCAAGCAGAAATAACAGCAAAGTGCTTGTTATGTGCCAGGCACTTTATTTGTAAATTATTTAGTTTAATGCTCATAATGATCAATGAAGCAGGTTTTATTATTACATATGTTTTATAGCCAAGAAACTGAGGCACAGCAAGGTTAAGTAATTTACTCAGGGTCACAAGCTATTAAACGGAAGAACTGGGATTTGACCTAGGTTGTCTGACTCCAGAGTCTATGCTCTTGATCACTATCTATACCAGGGGTCGGTGGATTTGCTCTATAAAGGTCCAAAACCAAGAAAGACCAAACTCACTGCCATTGAGTCGATTATGACCCATAGTGATTCTCTTTGGGTTTCTGAAGTGGTAAATCTTTATGGATGTAGGCTGCTCAGTCTGCCTTCCACAGAGTGGCTAGTGGGTTTGAACCACCTGTCTTCTAGTTAGCAGTCAAATGCCTTAGGCACACCACCACCAGAGCTCATTTAAAAAAACCCAGGCAGTCAATATTTTCAGCTTACTAAGACATACAGGTTCTTCTCCAACTATTCACCTCTGCTGTAGCACCAAAGTAGCCATGATGTTGTTGTTGTTATGTGCCGTCAAGTCGGCCCCGACTCATAGCGACCCCTCCTTGGGTTTCCGAGGCAGTATTACTATGGAAGTAGGATTGCCCAATCTTCCTTCCGAGGAGTGGCTGGTGGGTTTGAACCGCCAGCCTTCTGGTTAGCAGTCAAGTGCTTTAGCCACTATGCTACCAGAGCTCCTATAGATACTATATATACAATGCATGTGGCTGTGTTCAAATAAAACTCTTTTTACAAGAACAAGCAGTGTATCAGATTTGGCCATAGCCTGATCTGTATTACAAACTACTGAAAAATTGTCATGTCAAATTAATAAGTAATTTTAGAGCTATGATAGTAGTTAAAATCACAATAAAATCACTGTTCAGGCATCACGTAAACTTATCAATTTATGTGTTTTAAAAGCTATATTCACAAAATGTTAATGTAGTGATTTTTATTCATCTATAAATTACAAGTTATAAACATCTGAACGATTTAAGTCAACAAAGGACTCTAATAAATATTTCTTCACAGTGCCACAAGAATTTTTAATAATTTAAAGTACAAAAAAGAATTGTTCTTCATGTATTATACATTAAACCTCTATTTCTAAGATTAAGTATACTACCTTTACTAAATGGTAGAACCCCAAACTTAAAATTAGTCATTCTTTCTGATATCTATATTCTTTCTGAAAACTGAAGTTGCAAAATCTCCATATGCATCAAAATAGAAAAAGAACTCCCATCCTGTATCAAAATATTAATGTGCTCCAATCACGTTTCCATGAAAAGTTAAACACACAATCACCTTTAAGATCTTGGCCATGTGATCTGCTCCTTGCCATGTCAGATTACACCCTGTGAAATTCACAGTCTTCAGGGTGATAGAGTTCTTTATACCTTGACAAATAACTAAAAGGAAATACAAACAACAAGATGAAGAGCCTATACAATTCAATAAATCCTGATTTATTCACATTATTTAGTTTATAGCTGTTTTCTTAAAATCACAGTAAATCTTCTCAGACAACCAATAGATCAGTGCATTCTAAAATATGCTGGCAATAAAGTGTTATTCTGTTGCCAAAGAATGCTAAAAGTAATGTGGACTGCTAAAAGAACTAAAAAATCTGTCCTGGAAGAAGTGCAGCTGGAATGTTCCTTGGAAGTGAGAATGGCCAGACTTCATTTCACCTACTTTGGTCATGTTGTCAGAAAGGACCATTCCCTGGAGAAGGATGTCATGCTTGGTAAAGTGTAGGGTCAATGAAAAAGGAGAAGGCCCTCAACTAGATAGATTGACACAGTGGCTGCAATGATGGGTTCAGGTATTCAGGTATAGCAAGGATTGTGAGGCTGGCACAGGACCAGGCAGTGTTTCGTTCTATTGTACATAAGGTTGTTATGAGTCAGAGATGACTCGACAGCACATAACAACAACAAAGTGTTATTCCAGTTTATAGTAATATTATATATATATATATATATATATATATACTATAATTCAATTTAGATGCTAAAATTGAATACTCTGAATATTGCAAATGTTATTCCCCTTTAGTCATGTACTATAGATGATCTTCTGAAACATATAAACACAAAACCTAAAAAGGCTAGAATCTTCCTGTTTTCATTTCTAACAACATACCTAATCTCTATTATCAATCAATAATTTGTTCTATAAACCAAGAATTTATTAGGTGCTATGTAATATGCTCAAGCTGTGTAAGACAGAGGACCTCAAACTCTGTTTCCTCAAATTGAAATGCAGGCTTCCTTACTCCTCTAGACCATCATTCTACTCTATGAATACACAGCAGTTCTCAAAGATTTCAATCAAAGGTCCCCTTCTCCATGATTCCTTCCATGACTCTCCCCTCAAGTTTCCTGGCCTTCTGCATGCTTCCATAGCAATTAACATATTATTTTCTATTTTAGTGCATAATAATTATGCTTGCATATATATATATATATATATATATATATAATTTGCATAAGAGATTTAACTATTTAAGGATAATGGTGATTTTTTTCTTTTTTTATCTACCTACTGCCCCACTTCCACAAATAATTTTTGAGGGAAGACCCTAAAAAGACGAACAAGCACAAAAATCAAAGAATACTAAATACTTCATATTCAGGGTACCAGTGACAGTTGACCAAAGTGTAGAGAGACACTGGAGGCAGTCCCGACAGAAGTGGTAGAAGAAAAGAAGAACAGAAGGAATTAACATGGCAGGTAGGGACTCAAGAGACCAGTATGATGGGACGACAGTTAAACAGAATGTAAACTCACTTTCTAAACCTCCATCTCCAATTGGACAATTTGCAAGAGACAGGTGCACCAAAGAAGCTGATTTATTCAATCCCTTTAATGGGGAAAAAAAGTTAAAAATTAGTAATAGTGAGGGTTTTTTCCCCTAATAAGCTACCATGAAATATTTACAGGACACATTTCAGAAAGCTTACCTTTGTTAAAACAGTTAAATCTCTCTCTCTCAGAAGCAGCCCATTCAGCTCCAGGTTCTTGAGTGCACATGATACACTTAAACAGCCTTTAAGAGCTTTACATAGCTGGAAGGACACATCTTTGGATCTAACTGCAGGAACGCGACTTCTGCAGACTCTACTTCTGTCAGAAACTAAAGTAAAATGTTTTTGTGAAATGAGTGATTTCATTCATACATCTAAATACCATTAAAAAGCATCTACTCTGTACTAAGCATAGAAACACCCCATATCCTTAAGGGCCTCACTAAGGAGAGAGAAATGTAAATTCAAAACTTCAACCATATTAGATAGATGGATGGATGGACGGATAGACAGACAGATCTCAAAACCAAACCAAATTCACTGCCATCGAGTTGATTCCAACTCATAGTGATCTCCTTTGGGTTTCTCAGGTGGTAAATCTTTACAAAAGTAGTTTGCTCAGTCTTCTTCGTTCCACAGAGTGGATGGTGGGTCTGAACCAACAACCTTCTGATTAGCAGTCACATACCTTAGGAACTGTACTACTAGAGCGCGCTCTCTCTCTCTATATATATATACACACACATACATATACACAAATATATATATACACACATATATATGACAGCACAGAAGTCACATCTAAGTGAAAGCTTCAAGTTAGCTCCAGTTGAATTAGAAAGATGAGAACGATTTCATCGGGGAGATATGTTGTTATTGTTATGTGCTGCCGAGTTGGACTCGACTCATAGTGACCCTTCCCTGGGTTTCCGAAGCGTTATCACTATGGAAGTAGATTGCCCAACCTTCCTTCCGAGGAGTGGCCAGTGGGTTCGAACCGCCAGCCTTGGGAGATGCATTATCTTTAGAGGGACCAGAAGGTAGAAAGGGATACAAGCCTGATACCTATGGGGTACTGTAAGTACTGCAGTTAAGTATGACTAACATCCAGGGCTGCAAGAAGGAGTCAGGAATTGAAAGAGGTCGGCCTAAACTGGGAGCTCTGGTGGCAAAGGGCCTAAGGCATTTGATAGCTAACCAGAAGGCTGGCAGTTCAAACCCACCAGCCACTCCACAGAAGGAAGGTTGGGCAATATACTTCCGTAGAGATACTACCTCAGAAACCCAAGTAGCGGTCATTATAGATCAAATCAACTCGATGGCAGTGGCCCAAACTAGACTGAGAGGGAGTATGGCTTTTGTCTCAGAGGCAATGAGGACCCAGAGCTACTGGTGGCATGAGGGTACCTCTGGCAGGTTAGAAAATAGTATCTGGTGTACAATTAGGTAAAGTCAGAATTCTGAGGGAGACAATTAGGAAAAGGTACCTACATCAGGCAGATCAATTTAAAAAAGCACCCCTTCTGCTGGACCAACAGAGCCCATGGAGACTTGGCAGAGCACAATTTGGATTCAGCTCCCACTTGCATCCCTTTCTGGAAGTCTTTGTGTAGAGCACAAGCACCAACATGTGCCGGTCTCAATGAGGCCCAGCCATCATAAGCATATCCAGCTTTTCATTTTAGAAAAATCGCTCAGGCTAAGGTAGGCAGATAATGGTGAGCTCCAGGGCAGGAAAATTAATAAGAAGTTTCTGCAACAATCCAGTCAAAATGCAGTGAAGGATGAACAACCAGTATCTAGGAGGATAACACTTCCATTCTAGACTAAATGGATGTGGCAAATAAAGAAGGGCTCAGTTAAGGAAATCTGAAGAGAAATAGTCTCTGTTATACACTTTTCCACATTCAGGGTAAAATATCAGGCAAGATCAAATACACTAGCATTGACTCTAACAAGAATCAACTCACTCAATTCTATGCACCTGCTGCCTCATCTGAAAATAAGAGGTTGACCTGAGTTGTAGACAAGGTTCCTCTCAACTTCACTTGATTTCTGAGTTATCAAAAATTATCAGATAACAGGTAGTTATCTCTACCTGTTCTGGGAGGTAGAGAACAGGTGCTACACCTGAATGAGGTGCACAGAGTAATACACTTCTTTTCAGACGTACTAAACTGTCTTTGCAGAAGAGGTAACAGATGGTGCCTAGAGGGCCAGGCACATGACAGTTGTTCAGTTTTTGGTGAATAAATCAACAATCATTCTCTTCTAGTTGTTCATACCCACTCTCTCAGCTGGCACCTCACCCTCAGTTTATAAACATGTTCAAGTCTGTCCATTAAAACAATCTTTCAGACCTGTAATTTTGTGAATGTGAATAACCTTAGTCTCTTCCATGTCTTCAAAGACCTGCCTTTCAAAAAGTCCAAATTTCTATCTCGGGCCCAGTCTTCTCTGCAGACCTGCCAGCAGACATGTTTAGATATCCCACAAGCTAATAACACATTTAAAGATGAGCTAAGATCCTCTCCTGCCCCAGTCTGTTCCTGCTGTGCTCTGCATTCCAGGGAAATGTCAGAAACTGTTACCCAAGTAAGGAATCTAGGAAATCTTCCTGCCTGCTCTAGCACGCTGATCTCCCTCTATCTGGTTACCAGGCTCCATGCGTTTGTCTCTTTGATTTCTGAAATCCAGTCCTGCCTTTCCATTCCCACACCTTAATTTAAGCCCTTACCATATCCTTGCTAGTGTGAAGTCAACTCCAACTCATGGTGACCCCATCTGTGTCAGAGTAGAATTCTGGTCCATAAGGTTTTTAATGGCTGATTTTTCAGAAGTAGATTGCCAGACTTTTCTTCCAACATACTTCTGGGTAGACTTGAAACTCCAACCTTTTGGTTAGCCAAGCACATTAACCATTTGTACCACCTTACTGAATTCCTTCCCTAAACTTCAAATGGATGTAGAGGGAGCTCCTAAATCAAGTCAATCTCATAACTCTCCAGCTTAAAAATCCTTCAGTGGTTCCCTATAGGCTTCAGGATAAAAGTCTAACTCCTTGACAGGACAAACAAGGCCCTTCCTTGTTTGGCTCCCACCAGGTTTTAAGTCTCAACTCTTCCTGTTACTTCTCAAGTCCTAAGTTCCAGTCCAGATCCTCAGTTTTGCCACAATATGTCCAAGACTTTCACACAGCTGCTCTCTCCTATCATCGGTTAGCTTCTGCACATCCTTCAGAGGTAGCTCCAATGCTACCTACTTCAGGAAGCCTTCTTTTAACACCCTCTTCAATCTTGTGTGTTTACATCACCCTGAGCTCACTTCTACCACAACACTGACCATGGTGCATATGTTCACTTGCCTCAAACACAATGCTTAGCAGTTATAAATGCATTCTAGTACCACAGTATTTTACAAACATAACTTCCTTTAATCCTAAGAACTTATGGAATTATTTTTAATTTTAATGTTTTGAATAAATGTAGGGATTGTAGCTCAAAAAAATTAATTTTGTCCACACTGGTTTGGTGTAGTGGCTAAGGCATCTGACTGCTAACCAGAAGGCTGAGAGTTCAAACCCACCAGCCACTCCTTGAAAGGAAGGTTGGGCACTCTACTTCCGTAGATACTGCATGGGAAACCCAAGGAGGGGTTGCTATGAGTCGGATCTGACTGGTTGACAGTGAGTACTAATTAAAAAATTGTTTAAACATAAACTTGTCGATCAAAAAAAATCAAGAAAAAGACAAGAATGTATTCCTTTCCTAATCGCTCTGTTCTCTATAAAGCAAAGTTACTCAAATAAAATAGGTGACAGCTGTAGAATGCTTTAAGGATGTCCCCAAGTCTGTGCTATGTGCTGAACAAATATTAACTCAGCTGGTGAATCCTTGGGTCCTGTTATTAATCCCAAATTACAGAAGAGGAAAATGAGACTTAGAGATCTAAAATGACCTGCTGGTAAGTGTGTAAGGCCGCCTAACACGTCTTCTACACACATGCTCCGGCACTTGGCACACAGGGCTCCATCCTGGACTTTTCGCGGCTGGTCTTGCAAAGGAAGCACAAAACTGACAAAACGGCACGGCAGGCGGGAACTACAAACCTGTTTCTCCAAGCCACAGTTGGAAGAAGCTCTTTATAGAGATCAATGGCAGGTCTTTATTAACCTTGAGAGTGTTCAGAAGGGGCGCCCAGTCCACGATGCGGAGGCGGTCAGCGTTGAAGTCCAGCACGCCCTCGCGGAGGCAGGCACGCACGGCGGGAACCGGCACCGAGTCCTGCAGCGCGCACAGGTATTCGTAGTGCGAATAGAAGTTGGCTGCGCTGTCGCGTCGCAGCTTTACCGAATCGATCATGGTGAGAGGGGTGGGCTCGGAGGCAGCCTGCCGCGGAGACTATGCCCGCACCCCCATGGGGACCTTGGGCTTGCCGCCCCCTACCCAACGGCGTCCACAGCCCGGTCGGCGGTGGCCCCACACCGTGCCCAGAAGCCGTGCCTGGACCAGAAGAATCAGAATTCTAGTCCCAGCTAGGCTGGATCCTCCATGACGAGCTCCCGCGCAGCCTCCCGCCTCGTCGCCCCGACCGTTAGCGCCTTATACTTCACGTCCACTACCGCGCTCTGCTCTTCCAGTGGGCGGGCCAGCGCCCGCCTCAGTCAGCGCCTGGGTAACGTCAGCGCGCTCGCCGTGCGTCAGCACGCAGGTCCCGCCTCTAGTAGAGGGGCGTGTCGTAAGCTAGGGAGGGCAGCTGGATCTTTGTTTGCAGCGCTGCGGACCGGGAATACAGTTACTAAGTAAGGGCTGCAGGAAGGATTTAGGGAGTGTCCTTTGTCCTCCACTAAAGCTTTTATGTTATTAATTTCTACAAACAGTTCTCAATTTCTGTAGTGTCTACTTACCTTACATGGTTGCTGCCACACTGTAAAGAACTCAGGACATTATTGAGATTGTTAATAATAATCCCACTCGATCATAATTTTCATATTTTACTTTTCTTCCCCAAGCTACCCTTTGAAATGTTCTGCTTAGCTCTTTTATTTCATCATTTCTTCTATTTGCTTTGGCTACTGTACATTCAAGAACAAGTTTCACTGTCTCTTCTGGTTTTTTCTTTCCTATTTAGTGACATTTTGCTTCTGACTTACGTGAGTTGGAATGCACTGGATGGCAGTAGGTTTTTTTTTTTTTTTTTTTTTTTTTTGCTTGCTTCATATATAATGTCTACTTCCATAGTGATACTGCCTCTGAAACCCAATGAGGGGTTGCTGTGAGTTGGATCTGACTTGATGGCAGTGAGTTTGGTTTTTTTGTTTGGATGTCATCCCACAACTTGTGTGGTGTTCGATCATTAGTGTTTAACATGTCAAATCTGTTCTTGAGATGGTCCCTAAATTCAGGTGGGATATACTTAGGCTCTCACAGACTTGTTTTAATTTTCTTCAGCTACAACTTGTTAGGTGCCATGCGTAAGAGAAATTGATGTTCTGTTCCACAGTTGGCCCCTGACCTTGTTCTGAATGATAATATTCAGCTTTTCCATCATCTCTTTTCACTTAGGTTGTTGATTTAACTCCTGTGTAATCCATCTGGCGAGGCCCATGTGTATAGTTGCCATTTATGTTGTTGAAAAAAGACATTTGCAATGGAAAAGTCATTGGTCTTACAGAATTCTATCATATAATACAGATTGTTATAATATATATATAGATACAGCATTGTTTCTATTACCAAGGCCATATTTTCCAGTTACTAATCTTTCTTTGTTTCCAACTATTGCATTGCAATCACCAGTAATTATCAGTGCATCTTGATTACATATTTGATCAATTTCAGACTACAGAAGTTGATAAGAGATCTTCAATTTATTCATCTTTGGCACTAGTAGTAATGTGTGAATTGGAATAATAGTTATATTAACTGGTCTTCCTTGTAGAAATATAGATATTATTCTACTACTGACGTGTTGTACTTCAGCATAGACTGTGGAATGTTCTTTTTTTGATAATGAAATATGCAAAGACCTAGAGTTAGAAAACACATTACATTGGGCAAATCTGTCATAAAAGATGTCTTCAAATTGTTAAAAGGCAAAGATATCATTTTGATGACTAAGGTGATGATCATCATTTTGATGATCCAAGTACTGGTGTTTTCAATCATCTCATATGCATGTTAAAGCAGCACAGTAAATAAAGAAGATTGCAGAAGAATTGGTGCTTTTGAATTATGGTGTTGACTAAGAATATTGAATATACCATAGACTGCCAGAAGAACAAACTAATCTATCTTAGAAGAAGTATAGCAAGAATGCTCCTTAGAAGTAAAGATGACAAGACTTTGTCTCATGAGCTTTGGATAAGTTACCAGCAAGGACTAGCCCCTGGAAAAGGATATCATAATTGGTAAAGCAGAGGCTTAGCTAAAAACAGGAATACCCTTAAAAGATGGATTGACACTATGGCTGCAACAATGAGCTCAAACAGCAACAATTGTGAGGACGGTACAGGGCAGGGCAGAGTTTCATTCTGTTGTGCATAGCATTGCTATGAGTCACTACTGACACCATGGCACCTAACAACAACAACGTGAGAAAGTTCCTGGGTGGTGCATACTTGTGGTAGTTCAGGTTGTGTGTCAACTTGGCTGGGCCTGGTTGAGTGGCTGGGCAACTGGATGTAGTATTCCCCATGATGAGACTGGTAATCAACTCCATGGTGGAATCTACTGTGAGCAGCTGAGTAGCTGCCTTTGGGATGTGGTCTGCTTCCTGTATATAAGAAGAAGCCTCGGGAATGGTCTCAGGCTTATGGCACCTTGAACCTTACATGTAGCTGTGTTGTTGCTCAGCAGCCTGCCATGCTCTGCCAACCTTGGGACTTACAGTGGACTTAAATTAATGGCCTGCCGTGTGGTTTGGTAAGATTGGGACTTTTTATTTGTCAACTTTGGGCTTCTCAGCCTCAGCAGCCAGCAGCTGTCTGAGTGAAGAAATGCCTCTAGCTTCAGTGGGCCGGGAGCTGGAGGCAGAACTGAAGCCCAAGGTTGAAGGGCTTTCACCCAGCCCCTAGAGCTTGGCACTTTGAACTTGGACTTAAAGCCTCCAAATTGTAAGAATAAACTCCTGTTCGTTAAGGCCATCCCATTTGTGGTATATT